GTGTGTGTGTGTGTGAGAGAGAGAGAGAGAGAGAGAGAGAGAGAGAGAGAGAGAGAGAGAGAGAGAGAGAGAGAGAGAGAGATCATCAACATTAGCCTGTATCAGTCCACTGCAGGGCGTAGGCCTCTCCCAATTTTTTCCATTTTTTCTGCCTTGCGTTTTTGTTTCCAGCCTTGGCCCCTATTTTTTTTCGTCACGCCATCTTGTCATTGGTCTGGACCTTGGCCTGCTCATACTATCTATATCCCAGTCTGTTACTCCCGGCATCAACTTTTCCATTCCTTGAAGGGCACATTAATTTTCACTCTAGTAATTTGGTCTTAGTCCATGCCATAACTGGGAGGATGCTTTGGTTGTAGGCTTTTCTTTTTAACCCTAATGGTAAGGAACCTCTTAGTATGCTACTGTGTCTGCCGTATCTCTATATTAGTCCACTAACTCTAGCGATTCGCCTTGTACATGTATGTTTGAATTGAATTCTTCTGTTGAATATGACCTTAGTCTTTTTTCTGTTCAACTTTTAGACTTTCTCTATTCAGTTCATTTGATGATTCACTGAACAATATCGTCTGCAAATCTTAGACTTTGGGTGTGTTCGTCTCCTATTTTGATACCCTTTCCGTTCCATTCTAGCTTCTTGAATATTTCCTCAAGGCAAGCAGTAAACAGCTTTGGTGAGATGCTGTCGCCCTGTCTGACACCTTTTTTACTTGATATTTTATAGGCATCTGGATGAAGCTTGATGATTGCTGTCCCATCCTCGTATATTTGTCTTCCAAATATTTTATAACAGACCCTCTATTCTAATACTGCTGGTATATGTCAAATGCCTTTTCGTAATCGATGAAGGCCATGGAGGGTTTCCTATATTCGTTTATCTTTCCTCTTATTTGGTTTAGTGTGAGGATGTGATCTGTTGTTGAGAATCCACTGCGGAAGCCTGCCTTTTCCGTAGGCTTGTTAGAATCTAGAGTGTCAGCGATGCGAACTGTGATGACTTTTGTGAAGAGCAGAGTAATATATGTGTGTGTGTGTGTGTGTGTGTGTGTGTATTTATAAGACCAATCCACAGATAAAAAATTAGAATCCATTTACAAGAAGCGCATCCTCTCTTCTCTTTTAAAATGAACTACATTTCTTATTCACAAAGGCGACACAGGGTCCATCTCCCACTGAGACCTGACACTTATCCCAGCAGGCCTGGGATAAGCCTCCTGTTCAAAGACATTTTTTTTTTTAATCAAAACTGGAGTCTCTCTCGGTAAATGGATCAATGTGGCTATGTTGCTGTGCTAACTCCACTGTGCCGACGACGACGACGACGACGACGACGACGACGACAACAACAACAACAACAACAACAACAACAACAACAACAACAACAACAACAACAACAACGACGACGACGACGACGGCGACAATGATCAAAACTCCACGAGTCCTAACTGCTGTTCTCAAATGTAACAAGTTCTTAAAAGAATTGGTTAGCCTACTTAGCAACGAAGGTTTTTTACCCTAACAAGCCCGTGGTACGAGATCGATGTTAAGAGTAAAGTGAACAAGGCAAAACGAGAAAAAAAGACACACCAGAATAACAGAAACCTTACAAAGAATAGAAACACGTGATGTGAAATCGAGAAGTATAATCGATAGAAATGCAGAATTGCCAACAAGACCGTAGAATTTCCCGACGGGACTTGACTGCCAATTAGAAATTTCCACTAGAGAGAGACGCTCAAAGAAGAACGAGATGTAGAAGGGAAACACAGCAAAGTTTTATTGTTTTTTTTTTTTTGTTTGTTTAGACCCTGCTGGGAAGGGAGGTGTTGAAGCCTTTGACTCGATCCTCTTTAAAAGCCTCTGACATAATTCATGACAATGCTACGACTCAAAACTGCCTTGAAAAATGCACGTGTCTGTCGCCCAGGCGCAGAAGGAACAGTATCTCTCGACTGCTAATTCCGACCAGATGCTTACAAACAGACGATGTGACAGGGTGGAGGATTGTCTGTATAAACACGGGGGATAAATTCGTTGGGGTAACATGCACGATTATAAAAGGAAGAAAAAAAAGAGAGAAAATTAAACAATGAATATAACGGACTCAAACTGAAACCTGAAACAAAACAAAACGGTAGCGGAGGTCGGTCAGCCATCCTCCTGCGGTGAACAGAACTCTCCCAGCAACATCCTATTTAATGCAGTCCGCAAAAGGAGAATGGAGTCCCTCGTGTGAATTGACAAAATGGCATTACTTACTGTCTTCGTGCTTCAATCGAGAGAGTCTCGTTACTGAGCGCCAAGGCAGTCTAGTCACATAACGTTTGACAGGTGAACGGAATAGCACACAATATTCCACAAATTCTTCTGAGAAATAGATAGTAAACACTTGAACAGATAACAACAAGGAGATGATACTAAGTGTAAGCTCTGCAACAACAAACCAAAGCCAAGGCAACGGAATAGATCGAAATGATCATCATGCTATACACTGAATCATCGTAAACAACGTAAATCATCATAACAATGATATAATAGAACCGTATTATAGCTTATATGGAAGAAAATCCTCGGCGTATTGTAAACAACCACGGGATTACCATTGATCACATTCCACAATGCCCAGAATAAATATGTTCTATTAATCGTAACAACCATAAAAAAGGAAGAGAAATTCAAAACGACACAGGCGACTTTTCCACTAAGGAGAGACAAATCATACTTTCCATCTACTGCAATCACCCATTTAACACACGTCAGTCAGCTGCTTAACACTAAACACCACAGGACACTAATATGGAACTCGTCAACTCGCGTCTTTCTCTGACGTCATCACTACCAGTGGATACACAACGCCAATTTATTCTGCCAAACTTAATATCAATTATTATTCTTATTATGATTATCGTCATTATTATTATTATTATTGTTGTTGTTGTTATTATTATTATTATTATTGTTATTGGTACTATTGTAATTATTATTACTATTATTATTATCATTATCATCATCATCATCATTGCTACTACTACTATTTTCAACTATTATTGTTATCATTACTATGATATTATCATCATCATCATCATTATTATCATTCATATCATGATTATTGATGTTGCTGTATTTAATCTTGTTATTGTTGTTATCATTATTTATTATAGCAGTTATTATTTCTAATATATTTTTTATTATTATCATCATTTTTATTATTATTATTATTAATATCATTGTTGCTGTTATCATTAT